CACAAGGTAATGGTTCGCTGCGTCTAGATTATGCAGAATTGAGAAACTACAACAAAGGAACAGAAAGAAACCAATATGCTTTACAGATCAGACTAAAACAGCACATTTTCTGCAAACTTATGCTCCGATCTTCAATTTGATAACCTATCTTTTCTAAATGTTGTGAGGGTCATCACAGATCTCTATGGCCCGTTGAAAAACCTACTCAAGATGATATACCGCAATAGCATTCCGCCGATTTACAAAACCCATAACTGCATGACAACAGTATATCACCAGTCTTGACTTCAAAAAGCAGATTCAGCAGTGTTACCATGAACCTTAATGTGTCTCTGAGCTGCTTCTCGATTCCTCCCAGGCAACACTAAAGAAGCAGCTGAGGGTTTTTTGTTCCCATGGCTGGACAGCACCAGGTGTGGTGTGGGTATGGATCCACCATCAACCTTACCAGCTCAACACCAGCTGTAGTTCACGTGGGTCATTCTGGCATAAACTCACAGCTGAAACCATAAAAACGAGCACCACTGACGTTTAGTCTGAAGTGACTAGATTCTTTTTGAGGGAAATTAGGTAAACTTTTATTCACTGTATCTCAAGAAGTACCTCACTCTGCTGTTGTTATTGATATACTGTGCAAGAAACAGGATCTTGGGTGATGTGCAAGCTTTTGCAAAAACGTAAAATTTGATTAATGCATTTATGTGACAACAGTAGTGACGCATGACAAATGTTTGGTTCGCAAACCCTTTGGAAGGGCAACACAGAAGATCATAACTTAACACCACATCTTAGCTCCAATTAGCAAGGGCAGCAAGGGAAGTCTGGAGATAGAGCCTGCTTGAAAGAAAAGCAACTAATATCTGTTCTCTGCCTGGAAAAAAAGGGAAATTGTGCCAAGTTATGCCATGTTACGCCTACAACCTACAAGTGATTATAAAGCCATTGTCCAACACATTGCTTCTTCTTTGATTCAACATCTATGGCTAAGGACTTTGTTGACAGGCCATTGAGGTGGTCCATATGGCGGTGTGAGGGCACAGGGCTCGCGACTCTCTGGAGGATGTAGAGGAAACCAGACAAAGGCTCAGCCAGCAGGCCCTCAGCCTCTCAGAGACTCAATGGAACAGTGGCAGATCCCCCACTGGGGCCAGTTGCCTGTACGTTCTCAAACCGAAGTCTGATCTGTGGAAACGGGCTACTTCAACATAATACGTTCAGCCATCCATACTCCTGCCTCCTGGGTCATGTGGTCTCTCTCTTTAAAGGTGAATAGTAGTTGAGGAATGTTTAACAATCTATTGGCATGTGACAGATTCAGGTTTTTACTAACTCATGACCGACAACATGCATATTCACATACTGTTATTGAACAGCATGATGTAATGTGAGCTTTTAAAAAACAGCTTTGTAAAAGTGGTATCATGATGAGACTGTCAAGATCTTAGAATTAACAGAATTATAAAAAGGTGTAGAAACTAACTAGAAAGGAATTGAAGGTGACATGAAAGGAGCTTGTGACCTGACTTGTGATACAGACTTTTTCATTTATTTCAGTCTTCTTTGTGTGCTTTATTGGCATGACATTTATACATTGTTGTTGCCAAAACAAAACGAAACAGTGGATAAAGGAAAAAAGAGAAAGACAGAGACAGGACAACATAAAAGAGAGTTGATCAAACTTGGAAGTCCTAAATGTTGTCACGTTTTTTTAAAGGTTCTAAAAAACTCTTGAGGACACCTGCTTTGCCTTCGGACCTACAGACAAAAACCTGATGTTTGATTTACTCTCAAAAAAGTCAAAAAAGTACTTACCCTGTTCTTTGAGAGTGCCGAAAGAAATGAGAAAGAGATGGGCACCTGGAGTGAGGACCTCCAAGACAGACAGGTGGGCCACAGAACTCTCTTGTCTCTTCTTAACTCATTCGAATATTATTAGACGCCTCAAAGGTGTGAGTTGAACATAGCAGGTATGTTCAGAGTGTGTCCAACACGCCCAAATCACCTTAAATCACTGGAAACACATGATGCAAACACACATTTTCATTCAAAGTGTCTCCATCTGACCCCAAAATATACTAAAATGTGAGTGTGTGTCAACACTTACTTTCATTTTTGGTTTTAAAGAAGGCCATTTCTCTAAGCGATTCAGTGTGAGAAAAGAACTGAGTGTTATTTTCGGGAAGATGCAAACCCCGAGCTTGTTAATACAGGAAAGAACAATTGAGCAAGAGGATGTGCTGCCAAATCTGCTTATGTAACCTCACTACGACAGTCCATTCACCTCAGCAGAAGAAAGTAAATCTCTCTGATTGCGGCAGAAATGTTGAAATACTTGGATGAGCTGGGACTTCTCCCATGACATGTCACAAATTGGCCCCCGTTTAAACCTTGTGTGTCTGTGTGTGTGTTCAAGACAAATTACTTCCATTTGTATTTGTGCTTACGCAAACTGCACTGCACACGTTTGTTGTTTGTGCAGGCTCACACAGGTTTGGGAAGGAATAGAGTAGCGAGTGGGAAGGATGTATTGTAAGGACATGTCAGGCATCCTGTGTGATCGGGGCACTTTGATCTGGGACCCTCTGAAGTCACCTTTCACTCCAAGCTGAGAGAACCTTACTCAAATACTCTGGCTTTCATACAGCACTCTTTTCCTGTCGGCTTGTTCTAGCTTTTTCGTTTTTCGTTTCACACACACACACACACACACACACACACACACACACACACACACAC